ATATAATACTTATCTATCTCGTCAATGCTTATCAACTTATCTTCAACCCTGAAACCAACGCACCTTTGCTGCACGTCATCATCATCATCTAACAAAGGTTGGTCTTGCCTCTGTATCATGGACAGAAATGAAACCTCATATCCATGAACATTACTGTCTAGCTTCTGTCAAAGCTGCAAGAGTATTTGCTGAAGTTTTTGCTGATGAGGCAATTATCATTTCTCAGGATGACAAGGCAAAGGTCGAATTGGGCATTCCCGCAGTTGGTCACACATTCTTAACAATCCAGTCAGTTAATGAACTAGTAACTGTCAAAGATCACAATTTCCCAACTGGTTCAAAAATGAAACTCATACCTTCTGTTTATTTAGTCATTAATTTAGCTGATTCAAGTAATACCCTTCGTACTGGTCGGCTTTTCATATTTATTAGGCCAGAATATTTCATTGGAACTTCATCAACAACCCATATAGTAGATTTAGAAAGTATTTTTTCGAATGAAGAGTTTTCCACTACCCTAAAGAAAAAAGGCAAAGTTAGACCTATTTGGATTCTTCTTGTTGATGGTGGACCTGATGAAAACCCGAAGTATATGAAAAATATTATACAATATGCTTACCTTTTTCGTGCTCTTGATCTGGACTACTTGACGATTCATACTCATGCTTCAGGTCAAAGTGCGTATAATCCGGTCGAATGCAGTATGGCTTCTTTGTCCGCAAAACTTGCTGGTATCACTCTACTTGTGGGGAAATTCGGATCACATCTAAATAGTCAAAGAAAAGTAGTAGATGAAGTGTTAGCACGACGGAATTTTGAATATTTGGGAAAAAAACTACGTGATATATGGAAAAGGGATGACATACATGGGAAACCTATGATGGTGGAATATGTCGACCAGGAGAGACATCTATTCAATGATCCTAAGCCTTCAATATCGTGGGAGTGGATTGAGGATCATATGCAGATGTGCCGCTATTCACTGGATATAAGAAAATGTAAAAATAATGAATGTT